CCTTGTGCCACAATTTGTACTTCTTGTACGAATAAATATCAGTTTCATTGCAAGAACACTGTCAATGTCCCGAACAGTTGTGAGAAATTATCTATTGGACCCTGAATCGTATGGCACCAAAAAACGTCCAGGTCGTCCACCTAAAATTACAAATGCAGCCAGATGTTGAATTCTTTCGAGAAGCTTCTAAAGGACAATCAAGTTCAAGAGATATGCAAAAATTTCAGAATTTACCAATCACTCCAAGAAGAGTTCGTCAACTTCTTCATGAATCGCTAAATCTCGTGTATCGAAACAGGAAGACAGTCGTTGCTTTAACTGCTAAACACAAGAAGATGCGTGGAGATTGGGTAAAGAAAAAAAGTAACCTGGACAAAGGAGAAATGAAAAACCGTGGTGTATTCTGATGAGAAAAAAGTTTTAGATGGGTCCGACGGCTGCCAGTGTTATTGGCCCTGATTTAAGAAAGGAAAAGCAGCTGTTTTCAAAAAGACCTTTTGGAGGAGGATCTGTTAAAAGTTTGAGGAGCTTTTTCTATGTCAGGAAAGGCTGATTTAATAGTGATGGAAGAGAAACAAAATTCTGCTCGATATATCAATGTGTTGGAAAAAAAAGTCTTGTCCTATTTATGAATCGTCTAGACACCAATAATGCCATTTTTCAACAGGACAACGCAGCCATACACACTTCTAATCTCGTGAAAGACTGGTTTAAAACAATAAGATATTGAGGTTTTGGACTGGCGCACTAAATCTACAGATTTAAACCCAATAGAAAATGTGTGGGGAATTTTTTCAAGAAGAGTATACAAAAGTAAACGTCAATTTGAAGATAGAGAAACTTTAAAATCTTGCATTAAACAGTATTTGAATGAAATTCCATCTGAAATTTTCAGAAAACGTATTGATTCAATGCAAAACAGGTGTGTTGAAGTATTACAATTGAAAGGGAATAAACGTAAATATTGAATTTTGTACAATTTTGCTGTTAAATACAAATATTCAAAACTGTCTTATAATTATTTCCACACTCGAAAATGTATTTTTCTTAATAACTTTCTTAGTAACTTTTTTTTGTGTAAAGTTGTTATAAAATCCAATATGTATACTAATAACATCAGATCAAGGTACCACACACAGATTTTCAGAGGAATTTGTGCAGTAATAAGAAAATTATTAACAATTTCATGGGATGTCTTGTACTTATTTCCATCACTGTATATATCCGTGGATATACTTTTGACGATAGTGTCCAATGTTGTTGATCTCCCAAAATCCAACATTTGTGGAATTGAGACTTTCTTGATGCGGTCACAACACCGCTGTGCTGGTCATGTTGCAAGTATGAGTGACGACAGAATACCTAAGGTCCTCATGTATAGCCTGCTTGACAGTGGACTAAGGAGTAATATCGCAGCTGTCAATGAGATGCCTTGGATATAAATAATTAGAGATATTTGTGCCAGTGTGGTATATCAGAAATTTTGAAATAATTCGTATTGACCAGCAGAGAGACGAAAGACAACAGCGAACAGGGTTAGTAAATATTCCTCTCCCTAATGTCGCCAAGGGATTTTAAAATTTTAATGAATCCCTATAAATTACTTTTGTTTCTTATAGATTCAATATTTGTATTGAATTTACAGATTTTATCTTTATAAATATTTATACAAATTAATCCTGGATAAACTGTATATAATGTTAAGGTTAGCCCATCCTGTATATATATATATATATATATATATATATATATATATATATATATATATAATTTTCATATAGATAAAAACAATTTACTCACTCTAAAGATGCAACATTGTTTCAGTGCATTTAATTGCATTTCGACTGGTGGAAACCAAAATGCTTATCAACAATTCTGTTTGTAAGCAAGCCCCATCTGAAACGTCACTTCCTTTCTTCCATTTGTTTGAAAAAAAATGCTCTAATATCGGTATTGTGCCATCTTTTGAATTAATGGTGAACGTTAGAATTTAAATATTATTTTCGTTCTCATTACATACGTATATATATATATATATACATACGTATATATATATATATATATATATATATATATATATATATATATATAAGCAAACGAATCCTTAAAAAATTAACATTTCACATTCGATAGAAACGCATGTACATATTTCGAATCAACTCTTAGATCCCTAACAACGGAAAAGACTAATATCCAAAGAACAAACTTTGCAAAATAAACCCATTCTAGAAGAATGGCATCATAGTCTCAGACTTTCTCGTAAAGGAGAAGTCGTACTACGAAGAATCAGAAAAGGACACACCCATATCACTCACCCATTTCTGCTGAAAAATGAAAAAAACCCTAAATGCATCGCATCACAGGTGACATATACTGTAAAACATTATAACCTACTGTTGTCATTTTGCCCCTACATATCAACGATTTTATGACTTGTCTAGAGGACATTTTCAAGAAAATAAAAGTAGAAACTTTAAATGTAATGTCAATGGCTATCTACTGTCCTCCTGATTAATCTTTCACTCTTTTTTCCTCATTACTAATGTTTCGTTTCCTTATTCTTCCCACACCCTGTGACCCCTTTCATACTAGTGGCTGTACTGCCTTGTTTGGGATGATACCGATAAAAATACCAAAAATAATCTCCGCTAGACTACTTGAAGGAGGTTGGTCTATAACATAGATTATGGTACTAAATAGTTCCGTTCTAGGGGTATATGTGGATAGTGATGTTAACCAATGACAAAGGAGTATTGACAAGATAGACATTTAATTGAGTAATAACCAACCAAATTGAGATACCGTTAGAACAATGAATCAACTCATGGATCGGTAATAAGTTTCCCTGTAATTACCATAGTGATTTTCCAAGCGTAGCTTGGATGTGGCACAAGGCCGAAATTAGGGGGCACCCAGTGAGGATCGAACTCACTACTCAGTCGTAATTGTTCTAGCGAGCCAAGCTTTCTAACCATTACACCGCCTAGAAGTGCCCTTTGTAATTACCATATTGGCCTTAATAAGGCCTCTATATCCATTGTCAATGTTGAAAGATGGTGGATGCTATTTCCAATACGCTACACACAATATAAGTACACTATAAATTTACTAGCATTAACAAATGAAAAAAAAAACGCACAAATCAAACGCACATTCGCACCACACGCATATATAATAATGGATTATCCCGTTGGTTTCGACGTATGAGAATCTGACAACTTAACCAATTGATTCAGTTTGAAATTTTGCGCGATAATCTTAAGCGGCACTTAAGACCCGCTAGTGATTTACAAAGGAGGCCGCATATGGAGAAGAGAGTGAGGATTGTAGGATGAGATCACTCTTAGATTGGCTGACCTTTTAGATCTTGCTCTCGCTTCTTGAAGACGATTAAGATAAACAGATTGAAAACTGCTGAGTCCATTGTAACACGTTGATCTCCATTCTATACGCTCCAAGGCTAAACGCTCTACGGTATTAGGAGGTATATTGACAGCTGACAAGTTGCTCTTCAGCTTGTCTTTGTATATTAGCCATGGGTGTCCTATATTCCTGTAAACTTGATCTAACTGGCTGTACATTAGGATCTTGGGTATCCTGTCATCAGAAATTCTCAAGACATGACCAATCCATCGTAACTGAGACTGTATGAGAAAAGTCTTGATTCCTCCAATATTACACATATTAAACAGGTCTACGTTAAGAGGTGTAATATTGGATGAATCAAGACTTTTCTCACTGCTCTCTCCCAAAATTTCGGCAATTAAAGAATGACGGCATCTTCCCATCAATCAATCGGGATTTTATAACAGTAACCAAATCTTATGAAGCGAAAGAAAATAAATGTCTGCTTGAAAAAACACTTAAATAACACTAGCCTATTAAATGCTTTACATGTAGGCATAAAAATAAATATCTGCTTAAATACGTTGATCCAGTTTATTTTTTAATATAAATTATGGTATGTATTTTTTAGGTATATTACGGTTTGTTTATATATATATATGTGTGTCTGTGTACATATGTGTGTGTGAGGAACAAGTAATATCTCTTTAATAAAAATAAACAATTATTCACAACTCAAAATTTTTTTAAAGTTTTTCTTAAATATATATATATATATATATATATATATATATATATACCCACAAATCCTGTTTATTTTAAATTGCAAATATATATTTCTTAAATTAAAACTAATCCCAGTATGATATATATATATATATATATATATATATATATATATATATATATATATATATATATGACAAACACTACGATAATCATGTCCATTTTTAAAAAAATTGAAAAAAATTACGTATCGTTGTGTTGTGCATGAAACTCGTGTTATCTGCAAGGAATAATATGTATACTTATCTATATACTTCATACCTCTGTTGTATTACATCGAGCACTGTTTTATTAACTTTAGCTATATATATATATATATATATATATATATATATATATATATATATATACATTTTATTTGTAATCATTTTATATGTCAGAAAAATATCTAATTAGACCGAATGAAAAAATAAAAATAAAAGAATGGATGACAAGGAAAATATATTGTCGATCTCTCAAATGTGTGCGGCCTAAGAAAGATTATCAGTTGTGGTGATTGCAGTTACTGAAATAGCGCAACAAGCAAGTTATTAATAGAAACGGTTGTAGCAGTCGTAGTGCAACACCATCAATGACAGATACTATGGCTGCTCTTTAAGCATAATTTTGTCAACACTAGAGGCACGTATACAAAATATCAAACAAAACAAGACAAAAAGCAAGAAGGAAACACTAACTAAAATGAATTGTGAAGAAGAGTCAATAAAAAAAAGCAATCATAAAATTCGAATGTACACACATAATGCTCTTGAATCAGAGTACGAAAAGAAAAGAAATCTCTCAAATCTGCATGCAAATTTTATTTCTGTTGCAGCGTGTATTCAGCGTGAACTATGCTAGTGACACATTATAATGCATTTCCGGATGAAGATCATAGCACGTTGAAACACAAATTCCCGTAAGATCACCAAAGTTAAGCAAACTATAGTCTGGTTAGTAACTTGATAGGTGATCGCTTCGGAATACCAGGCGCTGTAAGCTTGGATTCATGGATAGTGTAATGGATAATGACTAGGAATTATTAATCAGAGAGCAGAGTTTCAATTCCCGTTAGGTTCATTATATTCATTACGCGCACATATACTTTGGAAAGATATGAATCCACATATTCTCCCTCTCAGCTACAAGTTAATTAAGAAGACTTGTATCACTAAAGCAGTAGTTTTTCTAGAAAAAAATTCTTACAATCTAAAAATGTTTATGGCTTTAAATAAACTGCGAAAGTTTTATAAGCCGTACAAAACTAATTAATCAATCCTAATACTTTTCATGCAATAATAAAAGCAATAAAACTAATTATTTTCATTTACAAAACCAACCATATCCTTGAGGCTACCAAATCAGGCATCCCCATTCTTGAAAAATAAAAGCAAGAAGTTTCCTCCTCATCAATTTGGGTGTTCCTGAATATAATGGTCAAATGAATTTAGAATTACATTCGACTACTGGATAAAAGTTGCCAGAATGTGGTACGTTTTGACCACTATTGCCCGAGTCATGATTTGGAGAGTGGGGTCTGTAACACCGATCATAAAGTCTTACATTAAGAAAATCGGAATAAAAACTAGTGTCCCATCGCTTCAGAAATCTGCGTTATTGATATGTCCCGGAAAGGGATATATTTGAACGAAGTAGCTAAGTGGTTTTGGCTACTATAACCAAGTAGAATACAGTAGCAGTAATCGACTGGTAAGCGTCGTAGTCGCAGGTAAGAAGTGTAGATCAATGGCGTAGTCCAATGGGCGTCGTTATAGACTTAGCTCTCAGACTAAGGCTCTCTTGACTCTCGTACACGTCTGTCGGTATTTATGACGGACACCAGCCAATCATATTCCAGTGAGGGGGAACACAGGTGTACGCATATTCCATTATATCAGTTACTTACCTCTGCAAATATTCCAAGAAATGTGTTATGTGTTTGAGGTCGTACGACTTGATGGAATACACCCATAATGCATGACCTACGATTGAAAACAAAAAATCGTCCGGACGAAGATAATAATAATAATAATAATAACAACAACATAAAGACCTACACCAAGACAACCAGAATTAGTATCGCATAGCTTCAGAAGTCTGCATTACCTGGCTCTGCAAATATTCTACAAAAGGTGCTATCTGTTTGACGTCCTACAACTTGATGGAGTATGCCCATAATGCAGGATCTCCGGTTGAAAATGAAAAACCGTACGAAAAAAATCAAATCATAAATGCATACATACGCACATACCTATATTTGCATGCTCGAATATGGTACGTGATAGTTATCGCTGGAAATGGAATGGCAGGAAGTCTCTTCAAATCCGCAGTATCTTTCTTAAACGTCTTGCAGGCCATAACCCTAGGTTCTAGGAAAAAGCTCCGGCGCGCCAACTGATAGAGACACAACGCTCATCATTATTTTTTTGCAGTTGTCTCTGATTCAAAGCAAGGCTCTAATTGTAGTTGATTTTATTTATGTGTTTTTTTCTTCTTCTCTTTCATCATCATCATCATCGTCGTCATCATCATCGTCGTCATCGTCGTCATCATCATCATCATCGTCGTCCCTAAATATTCCTAGTAGCAGTAAATAAAGGCTTACACTGGAAAATAAATGAATGGATGATAAGGAAAATATATTGTCGATCTCTCAAATGGCTGCCGGTCTACATTTTACACTCAGCATTGTTTTTATTTTACTTGTTTTTTTTTATTAATGATCTCCTTTCAGTATTTCCAGCCGTTTCCTCAAGTTATTTGATATTATTTCCATTGCTCCGATAAAGACTGGTAGGACTGTCACCATCATGTTTCACAGCTTCCCGAGTTTCCTGGTAAGGTCGAGGTATCTATTTTTCTTACTTTCTCTTAGAATTATTCTTCACTTTGCCAAAAAAAAAAAAAGAAAAAGAAAAAAATCAACACTATGATGAAAATTCATCAGCTTGCACGTTTCATCTACATGGTCAAAATGATGTCGATTATTATTTCATGAATTTACATGTTCAAATAAGGATGCAAAAACCTTATATTATTAAACGAATACTGTCATATATTCCGTCGCATAGCGTAGCAAAAGAAATTCGTATAAACGTGTTTGTATGCCGTCAAGATCCTATGTCAGCTGTGTCACGTGCCTAAAGTGACGTCTGGTCGAATGAAGGTGATATGCATGGGTTAAATTAAATCACGTGAGCAATGGTGAAAGAGGGAGAGAGAGAGGGAGAGAGGGGGAGAGAGAGAGACAGAGAGGGAGAGAGAGGGAGAGAGAGACAGACAGACAGAGAGAGAGCTGATCTGAGGAAGAAAAAAATGAACAACAGACCACCGGGAACGACAAACGTCTCTGTCAGTGCAAAGCAAGAAGGAGCGCCTCTTTCTTTTTCTCTTATCAGTTTTTCTTCTTCGGTGCTCAAGATAAAAGCATTTTGTCTCTTATAAATAAAAGAAACTATTGCATATTTTCGTACTTCAAACAGCGAAAAGTGAGGATGACTACACATCAAAGCAGATAAGAAAAAGAAAAGAAAAGAAAGAAACACATCAGCTTCAATAAACCGTTAGTAACGAACAAGCAGGACGACTTTCATTACATTGGCAATGGTGGTTATCTAATGGTAGACAATCTCCTCAATATGTTTTCATTCATTTTAACAATGCACTTAGAATAGTTTTAATTATTCCTATCTTTATTTCCTTCCGTCCGTTGCATAGATCATAAGTATGAGAATGATATAAAAGTTTAATTAAATTAGATAGTATAACGACATATCAAACCTTAGTAGGTAATTTAATGTTCTGTTTAAGCCTCATAGAGAAAACCACATAATTAATATATAGGTAGATATACGTCCGGTGTTCACTAGAATTGTAAACATAGATTCGGTTTACATTAGAGTCAAAAATAGGTTTGGTTTACATTAGATACAAGGTGGAAATTTACTCCTGGGCCCAAACGTTAGTGCAAAGAGGAAAATAAAGAATAGCATCAATGTTATAGTTAATGCCCGGTGTATTTTAAAATGTTTAAAACATGGTAATACACGGTAAATGTAAGAGTCGGGCTGACTGAAGAAAATTAGCCTATATCGAATATATATTTAACAATTATTTTGACGTCAGACACGAAGAAGCAAAGCATATTAATACTAAATTGAGTTGCCTATTCCCCAAAAGCATGTAGGTACGGCGAAGTAAAGGATAATGGCTCGGATTGAGGAACCGGAGAGACTAATTTGAACTCCACTTGAGTTCATTGCATTCACTTCCATGCTAACACCCTTAGGAAAAGTATAAATTCATCGCTTATCAAAGACTGTGGCCTGCAAGAAAAGGAAATCACCGAATAAAACTGCGAGGATTAGATAGGCTGGAGATACCGCGTGCTGTCCAGAAAGTACTCAACAATCTTGATTACCTAAACTGTCTATTCTTGCAATCTCACACATTAACCTGCAAAAAGCGCTGCTTGTGAGATTTCAATTTTTATGATTCTATGGACTTTAGAGTCAGGGCGTGAAATTTCAAGGGATGTAGACCAGAAGTTAGGGATTCAAGCGTCATTGTCTATGACAGGGGGGATTTTTCATTAATATTTCATATTTTTAGTCATATACAAACTATATACAATCTAACAGAAAAAAAAACGGCTTATTTCTCGAATGTGAATTTGGCTTAATTTTGTAAAATAGCAGAGAGGGAATATTCTATTAAATAATTATTTATTGTTTGTTATTTATGCTAGCGTTGTGAAAATCACTTTTGTAGATGAATTTGTTTATGCACTGCTGTTAATAGGTTTGAGGCCACCCTTGGTATTTTCTTTTAAAAATGGCATGAAATATCGTTGTTTTGCACTTTGAATCAGAAAGAATTATTATACTTGTTTAAGAAAAGAATCATGATTTTTTATTAGACATTTTATTGAGCTAAAAAGAAAAAGAAAAGCATTTTATTATTAAATTTTGTTAATTGATTCCATTCTTTTCTCAATAAATCTAAGAGCTCTTTTTTTCATTTTTTTTCACTCGTCTGTCAAGTTTATCCCATGCTAATTCTGGGAGTGATTTCAGATTTTTGAACTGTAATGTATATGCACGGTTCTATCATACTATCTATCTATCTATCTGTATATAAATAAATAAGCGTGTGTGAAATAGTAAATAGTTGTGTCAACAACATATTAGGTTGATGCAAAATTAATGACGTAATAATGTCGTTTTTAGACGTATTTTTTAACGTCAAAAAACGACATTATTACGTCGTTATTTTTGTACCAACCTAATAGTTACCAAGTTGAGAGCTAGTGCCATGGGGAAGCTTATTAATGAAAATTAAAACAAAGTAGGACCAAGGATAGAGATCTGTCAGACATTCGCACTGGCACAAAATGATCTAAAAGAATAGCCGTTCAGGATAACTTTCATTTCGCGATTTTTATAAGAAGGACTGAATCAGTTCAAAAATTTGTCCGGAGAAACAGTAACTTTTCAACCTGTGAAGAAGACCTGTATACCAAACCCCGTGGAAAGCTTTCCAGATTCCAAATCAACACCTTAAGTTTCAATATTCTTATCTAAAGTTTGGTAGACTATTTCCCCGATGATAGTCAATACATTAGCAGTTGACCTAGATAAACGAAAACTATATTGCTTTTCTGACAGAATGCACTGCAATGCGAAATTGTTAACTAATTCAACATTGATTAGGGACTCTAGTAGTTTACCAAACAGTACAAACACACAGACACACACACACACATATATATATATATGTATATATATAAGATTTAAGAAACAGCAGATATTTTTATATATAGTGCTCAATATTAAAAAAAATATTAAAATAATATTAAAAATAGAGCATTAACAATATTATATAGAAAGATTACTGACCTTTTAAATATCATTTTTTGTTGTTTTCCCCGACTTCGAAGCTTCTTGGGAAACGTCCGTTCTTCCGGCGCTTCTGTTTCTGAATAAAATGAAAGCGTAAACA